GTTGGATGCGTGCGTCAAAGGGCAGAGTCTGGCTCAGAGCACCCGTGTGGATTTGATAGCATAGGTTTATGACCTTGTAATCTTAGAGCATCTAAACCAGTAAGAACTCTATCCAGCTTAAAATAGCTGCTGTGGTTGCTTTTGATATAAGCTTGTGGGCTTCCCAGCTTCGGGGCCAAATTTGGTGCTGGCATGATAGGAGGAAGTCTCTTGACAGCTGATAGCACAGAAGTTGCACTTGATTACATCATAACAAATTTGGCATCTGGACCTGAATCAGAGGTCTGAGCAGAAGTGTCCATTCCTTATCCAGATTTAAAACTTGGACTTACCTACTGCCAATCCACAGAGATTTGTCTGGCCCATGCATAACTGTGCTTTTAGGGTTCTTGCTTTAAAAATACATTCAACCCCCACTTCTATTCAGCATAGTGACCTTAAAGAAACCCATGAAGAACTGGATTGTCCTCTCAGGCCCAAAAGGATAAAGTCCCTAACCATGCCAATACAAGCATGAGAGCAAGCCCCGTGGTCGCTGACACACTGGGCTGTGTCTGGGCTGCAGCAGAGGGTGCGCACAGAAAGGTGCTCCTAACTCTCATTGCTGGGGTGGTCCAGTGGCCAAGCATGCCTGATGTCCAGCAGACAACTCTGTGTATACTGTCCTTCAGAGGAACTCCCACAGGTCCCAGGGCATTGGTCTGGCTCCTGGCAGCTGGTGTCGTGTAGATGAACAGCTGCAGCCATGTCCCCTCTCCCCTTCCTGGGTCTTTATACTGGAAGATTCAGAGTAAAGGTTTTAATGATGCTTCAAGTCATTCCTTGAAGTATTTCAAGAAGTTAGATGATTTTATTATAATTTCAGCTGCTGCAAAAATTGTCCCAAATGTGTGTGCTTTGTTTTTATTAAAATACTAAATTGCTGAAGTAATTTGCATTAAAATTAATTAAAACAAATTAATGGGAAGCAGATGAAAAATGGATTCTTCTGCTGAATCTGTGGTATGCAAACTGAACCTCAGTCACATTTTTGTGGTTCCTCTGTAAACACCTAAGTGTATAATAGACGTTTGTCATGGAACTTTTTTGATGGAAATTCTTAGAAAGTGAGGCTATACTACATTTTGTTTCCCTTTACATATAACTTGATACAAAGCATGTGTTCTTACCTACTCCTTTTAGTGCCATTATTAATTTGTGGTTAAATCTTCTCAGTATTGGGAAAGATGAAGAAGATGCTATCAGGCTCAGGGTTTCTCCATCATGTTTTCTGTTTGTAAGGGACGTGAGGGCAGGAGGAGTGTTTATTTATGGGACTAACACCGACCTTGGGTATGGGCTGTGCACTGCACAATGTAGTGGCTGAGGAGGAGCTGTCCTCTCTGGCAAGCTGGATCCATCTGGGATCTTTGTGTCATCCAGACATGTGTTGGGTACATTCTGCATATGGCTTGGACAGGTGTGAGAAATGTCTGTGACTCAGGTGAGCTGCTGGGGGGAACAAGAGCACCGCTGTGGTCTTGTGTATACCTGCGTACAGTAAAGCAGGACTTAGCCCCTGCTGTACAATAAATATAACACTTGCAGTTCATTCTAGAACAGATTAAGGTATTAGCTTCTCATGTATATTTGTTATTATTTTATTTGTAACTTATGTTCCTTTTCTGTGAAAAGATATGGTGCTTTTTGTTTGCATTCTCCTGTTTTCAGAAACTCTGAAAATATGATGAAGGTCATGTTATTAAAAGTAGAATGTAATTGTTGTGCACATTGGGGGACAAATACGGGCCTTGTAAAGAATGCCGTACAAAACATTCAGCCTTGAAGGGTCCACTTGGTCTCCCTGGAGAAGTGTCAGTTAGCTCTGCTAATGGGTTGCTTTCTAGAGAGAGGAGCCAAAAGCTTTCCCCACTGTCCTTCACTAGGAAAATGAGCTGACTGCTTCCTCCAGTGTGTCTTGCCCAAGCAGAGTATCCAGCTGAAATGCTGGGGTCTGAACCCCGAGCCCCGAATTAAGGTTGCCATATGGGTGATTGCCACAGCCCTTCATACAGAGGGGGTGAGTTTGCCTTAGAGCTTCCCCCCAGGGTGCGGCCGGCCCTGCAGGGAGAGCCAGAAGGGAAATGAGCCCCAGGGGTCCCGCAGTGAGCTGACAAAGGTCAGGTGTCTGCTTTGGGATAAAAGCTGGGACCACTGGCAGGGAGTCAGGAGTGTCTGTCTGTGGAGTGGACGCACTTCACAAAGCTTCCTGGTTGAGGAAGGGCCTCCTGGCTCTCCTGGAACTGGGCCCCAGTCAGCTTGGACCTTTGCAAACGTGGGCTAGGAGGGTGAGAGTTGCCATGTGGCTGCCCTTATCTTATGCATTCAACTTTCTGATCTGGCTGTTTCCCTTTCCATCCATGGGAAACCTTGGCTATTTGTTTATTCCACCCATTGTCGGTCGGATTATGTCTTTTTTGGGATCATTGGGGATGATGTCAGTTGTATGTGAACTAATTGACTTGTTGGTACCCCCAGCAATCATTCGTGGACTGTCCTTCTTATATTCGATACATTCCACCTATTGGTTCATCTTCCTGCTGGTTGTGTTGTTTGTGTTAGGCCTAGTCATTGGCAGAACACCAGCCCTTTGGAACAGGAGAGCTCAGTGGAGCCAGCTGACTTGAGTAGATTTTATTTACTATGTTTTCTCTTCGGGTTGATATGAGAAAAAAAAAAAATTCTGCCTAGGAACATTTATGTAGAAATCCTTCATGAACTAAATATTTCAAAACAGAAAGACCTCCTAGTGGAATTTTTCTATCCACTGACATTTTTATGCCCATAACCATTCTGAACCAAAATGGAAAAAAAAAAAGAAAGAAAGGAAGAGGTTAATAAAACCAACAATTATTTTCTCTAAGGAGTGCTAGAAGTTTAAAAAAACTACCATTATGTCTAAACAGTTCTTGACATTGTACATGCTAGACCAAATTCATCCTTGCTACAACTCCTCAGAACTCAATAGAGTTACATGAGGGATTAATTTGGTCTATTGCTCTCATCCATCAGTTTTAGGGGATATACAGCAATCGAGGGAACTATTATTGTCAAAATTATTTTATGACTTTTTAGAACTGCTCAGTATTTGTATTTTACAGATAACACAAGCAGAGTGAAAAGTATGGAGTGAAGTTAGTGTGTCAGTATTGAATGTAGTGGATTTTTCAACATTATTTTTGTACCATTAAAACTAATAAGCATTCTAACAGGCATTATTGCTATGAATCTTGCACAGATGCCTGAATACAGCTACACAGACTCTTGAAAAATACACAGACATTTCATCTGGCAGAGCACAAAACATGTAGCAAAGTGTAGAAAATATCTGGGAAGTTTTAAGTACTGTTATCACACCAAATGACTAATTGTCACCATGTCAATGTGAAATTTGGCCCTACTTGCTGCACATGGGAGGTTAAGGCAGAGGTAAAGCTGGTTTCTAGAAGCTAACTTACAAGGCAGTTGTGGGGCCAGGAACAAAAAGAACACAAGATCCCTACTCTCACTTTCTACTTTTCTGTTTTCTTTGAAGCATTTGTTTCTCTGTAATTTTAAAAACAAACTGAGGAAAGGTTCAGGTAATAAATCTGAAATGTTAGCTGGTGAATCTGCTTCTGCACATAAATAATATATTTTAGTTCATGTCAGAAGGTGTATACAGCTCTCTGAATCTCTAGGACACTTAGGATGCTTGAATTAAATTTAAACTCTGACTAGAAAAATTGTGCTAACAATCAGTTCTGTTAAAGGCCTGTACACTGGAAAATGACTGCTCAAAACAACATGACTTACTTGTCATTCATAAGACAGTGAGGCTTTATCCTGTTTGGTAAATCAACTTTGCACTGACTCCTTGGTTACAAAGCAAGATACAAACTTGTCTGATCACTGAAGTGTGATCCCCCCTGCACGGTGCTCTCTGTTGTTCCATAGCAGTAGAGTTATTGTAATGGCTTGTTTGTATTTATTAACTTCTGTTATGGAGGCATGTTTGGGCAATGAAGGAGGGGGTTTGTCTTTGCAACCTATTAAAGCTTGGGTCACCCAGAGGATGAAGGAAGTTGCTCTGAACATTACCAAGTAGGGAACCTGTACAGTACAGAACTAGTGGCACGACTGCTTTTACCCTTTGTCTCTGGATCACTCTGTTCCTATGTTCTCAAATTGTGTATTACAAGAGCATTTATTTTGCAGCATAAGGGGTCTCTGGCTGAGTAGGAGCTGCTCCATATTTCCTGACTACTGTGGTAGGCATCTCTGTCCTATGGGATCTTGGATTACTTAGCCATTCCCGTGTCCAAGTTCTTTCTCAGCCTATGTCTAGACTCCACACTAACAGTATTTTTGTGGGTTTATCATCTTACACCTGTGTCCTGCTACTGTGGTTTCTGCTAAAGAAAGGCCAAGAACACAGACCAGAAGCATCCCACAATCTGCTCTAGCTGATCTCTGACCTGAACACCAGAGGTAGCTATGTGCTGCGACTGCAGCTTCAGTCTTAAAGAGTTTATCAGACTGGCAGCTCCTTTGTGGGCCAGACTCAGCTCTTCTCGAGTAGCTGAACGTGAAGCATCTCCGGAGCAAGGGTGATAGCTGAGAGCAATAATAATTTCCCTCAGCTAAAAAGATTCATTAATCTTAAAATGTCAGGACCACTAAAATGCAAGTGAGCCTTTTAAAATTTGAGGACAATGGACCTCATCCTAGAAAAGTTTTGTGGAAATTGCATTGATTCCACTACCATTCTACATGAAAAATCTACTCATACATGTAAAAGACTGTTGGCTGGGTCTCCCATTTTTGTTAGCTGTATTTTATTGCTGTAATTATACCTAGTGGCTTATCTAATAGAGACATGTTCTTATAAAGAAATTAAGACAATTAATGCTACTTTTAGCAAGAGTGAAATAGTAAAATTGAACTGAAATTTAACCAAGCCCTTCTTTTTTATTTCCTAGTATCTGAATTACAGGAAGAAGGAATAAATGCCATTAACTTACCTCTGAGTCCAATTCCATTCGAACTAGACCCTGAGGACACTATGCTAGGTAATTCACAACAATTTTACAACTCAACATAAAAGCTTGATGTAAAATAAAGTGTCATGCCTGTAGTAGTTTCTAATATCTTTCCTTTAAATCTTCAGAGGAAAATGAAGTCCGAACAATGGTTGATCCAAATTCAAGAAATGACCCAAAATTACAAGAACTAATGAAGGTAATGAAAGCATGTAAACACTTTCAAGAAAGTGAAACTATTCCTTGATGCTCTCCCTGCCTCTTTCATTTGAACACTTCAAAGCACTGTTCAGATATTAATTAATTAAAATGGCATGTACATCCCATTGAAATGGGCAGGTCGTTGTTGCAGTATCTTTCTCTAGATATGGCACAGAGAGACTTAGGAATTTGGATTAAAATCCTAAAACCAGATTCTTAGTCTCATCTCACTACCAATCTAAGATCCCACTGACTTCTCTCACAGTCTTTGTGATTCTTTGGGTTAGAACTTAGAACTTTAGCAGGAAGCTTCATTAGAATTGACTTTGACACCTTTTGCTTCATAATAAAATGTTAAAATACCACTTAGAGTAAAGGACAGGTTTAATTCCAGAAGGCACTGCATCTATCTGATACTTGTCTAGACCTTGTGGGACATTGACACAGCCACCTTAGAAGAGCCCTTCCTAAATTCTGCCTCTTTTCTTCTGATGCTATTTCAGGCTGATTGTATTTTGAGCCATTGCAGCTTTGGTATTCTTTCTGCTAAATATTTTCATCATTGTACAAAATGACATGTGTTTTAAATTGCAAATGAATAGTGTATAATCCTGCCAAATTTGTGTTTCCCATATAGGTATTAATTGACTGGATTAATGATGTGTTGGTAGGAGAGAGAATTATTGTGAAAGACTTGGCTGAAGACCTGTATGATGGACAAGTATTGCAGAAATTATTTGGTAAGAAAAATACATTTGTATGCTGTTGGGGCACTTTGTCAGTAAGTGGATCACTTGTTCCTACTTAGAAGCCTTGGTATCATCTTACATTTATGCCACTAAGTGATACAAAAATAGCATTGTGTTATGAGACCCTTGAGCAATAGGCTGTACACACAATCCTTATGGCTGCAGTGCAATGTGTGGTGCTCTGTAGCTGGTGAGAATGGCATAAAGCCTACCTGGGGTGCTAGAGAGGGAGGGTTCTTGTCTTGGCAACAGTATTCACTCCAATTAAGGTTATTGTCTGCATATGTGTTGTACAAACTTAACTGTGTTACAAGTAGAAAGTAAGTTTGAAGGCAAGAGTATTTTCAGTAGAAGGGTGGATGTTTTTAATATCTGCTGGTTCCATACTAGAGTTTATTCACATTGTGAAGTTCTTCTGGAAAGTTGGAATTTCTCTCTGGTTTGATGTCTGGCTTTTAACGTTACTGAGGTAATGGTACCCAGTGGACTGCAGACTGAGATTCAGCTGAGTAACAGATAGAGAAAAGAAACTGTTAATGCAGAGCTGACATGTGCTTTTTTAATCGTTGGCTTGGAAGCCAGTTTCATAGTTATTATAGCTCATGAAGTCTCCCTAAGTTTCTTTTCAGTATCTTAAATGAATCTTGAAACATCATGTGAACACTTTCAATAAAGATTACACAGACTATTCCCTTCCGTGAATGCTTAAGCTATTGAAAAATATTGTGATGGACTGGATAGACCCCAGACTTGAGCAATTTGGTTTTCATGAGCAAAATTCCAGTGACTTCACTCAAAACCCAGAAAATGTGTATCCAATAGAGCCTGAATCTAAATATGCATATACTGATCCAGCACTTAATGATTTCAGTGGAAACTTTTCCATTACCTTTAGTTCCTTGTGGATCAGGTCTGTGCTAACTAAAAAGTTTGGTCTTGTCAGGAGACTGTGTGTGCACAGACTGATTTCCATGGACGCACAAGAAGCCCATGGAGATAGCAGTCTCTCAGGCAGGATTTATAGGCTGGTAGCTCACACTCACTCACTTTGGGAAGATACTCATTTGGCTTTGAGGAAAGATCAATTCAATCGCTCTTGATTACAAGATCAGCTCTTACTAAATGATCTGTCTCTTAACAAGATGTTCTTTCATAGAAGTAAATTGATAGGTGACCAAGCATTTTATTTCTGGTGGTGTTATCAGGGAATTCGTTCCGCTAAATTTTCTTTGCTTACTATTTAATGGTAAACACTAAGCCATGTATGTATATGCCTAGCAATCTGTAATAATTGTTAACAAACCAATTAATAAAGTTTTTTTTAAAATCTACTGCAAATGATGAGTGCAGAAAAGGGCTGTAGTTTCATACAAAGAAATTGCCGAGGGTTTTAATTATTTTCATACACCTAGAAATACTTGTTCACATTTCTTGGGTGCATCCTCCACCTCCATGAGTATAGTGTCACTTTATTTTTGTCACAAAAGGGCCAAATAAGATTTTAAATCTCCTGAGTCTGAGGAAGAAGCCAGGAGGCTTAGACTGATGAAACAAATCTTCGTAACATTGGTATCTGTTTCATAGGTTTGATAGTCTGCTGTACAAGCCATTTGCATACAGAATTTCCTTTATCCAGTAGCAATCGAAATAATGGGCTGTACCTCAGAGTCTGGTGTTCCCTAAAGGGAGCTGCAGCAAATGTTTGTTAGCCAGTAGCATGGCTTTCACTAATACTTGGCCTTCCCCTTGACAATGGATAAATCAAGGAAGAAGGTGAACTGTACCTTTAGGAGTGTAGAAGTGTGTGGGAAGGTGGCTCCAGAAGGAAACCCAAATATTTTAAAACTAGGAAGTCTAATATCTCTTGATGTACCTCTGTGTGCATGGAACGTCATCATGTTCTTCATGGAGATGACTGGTTTTTCTTCTGTTTTCTTCTATTATCATTTCAGAGAAACTTGAAAGTGAGAAGCTGAATGTTGCTGAAGTTACTCAGTCTGAAATTGCTCAAAAGCAGAAGCTGCAGACAGTGCTTGAAAAGATCAATGAAACCCTTAAACTTCCTCCAAGAAGCATTAAATGGAATGTTGACTGTAAGTTGTGTGTTTTCTATGCTGTTCTCATTTGTTGATGGCCAGGAGTTTATAGCTGCTATCTGTAATTCTGAAATATCCAATGATAAGGGAAAGCTGAAACCTGGTATTTATGCTAGGAGCTGCTCTGCAAGGCAGTTCCAGATGTGGTACAGTCTGCCTCCTTTACTTGTGTTCAACCTTCAATTTAAATAAACTCTTTTCAGAGTCTGTCAGGTATGGTATTTCTGCTTTTAAGTCCATATGCATAAGAGCTTACATTTTCTGTTACTAAATTGATTTGTTGAAATGGGTAAGTACCTGCATAAATGTAGTAGATAGGCAGAGAGAGAGGTAGGTTGTAGTACTTTTTGTTTGTGTAGAATCTGCAACATAGATATGGACAATATTTTTGATTAAGGCTAAATCTGAACCACTGAGCTTGATTACAGAACTCTCACCAAGATTACAACTGCACTCTTCCTGTTTTATTTTATTAAAAACGGCCATAGTAATATCTAACAGAAATGCTCTCAGTGGCCCAACACAAGACATTTTAGTGCGTATGTGTTGCAAAAAGCAGGTTATCATCAGTTTTAGAAATTTAGGCATCTTAATCTTTAGCAAGTTTTGTATCCAGAATAATTTCATACCTGTGAATACTTTGACCAGTATGTAGCAGTTTCCTTGTCTCCTATACCTGTCTTGAGCTGAGCTGGTTTGTATCCAGTTCCATTCACAAAAAATTAGTGAAAGGGGGAGAAACAGGTTGAGAGAGGAAGGGTGAACCTTATGCATTTTTGCTTTTCCCATTTGTGTGGTCCCACTGAGTTTTTGGTTCCCATCTCTTTTCAACCTCCTCCCAGTTTTTTCCTGCTCTCTGTTATGCAGCTGGAGGCAGGGTGTTTGGTGTGGCCTGACAGTTTAACTTATAGTTTTAATTTAATGTTTTACATGTGTTTTAGACCTAAGGTAAAGATAGATAGCAGCAGCTGGAGCCAGCTGCACACACAGCAGTGCTAGGCAGACATCTCTTCAGTGTTCTGCAAAAGCACTTAATCTGTGACTACTGGCACCCCATCAAAATTGGACAGCAGTGCCACATTTTATCTGAATGGGTATCTCCACAGCATAGTTGAGATTTGCATTCGAAGATTATAATAAAGAAGGGTATTTTAGTGAATCTGCTCCTGTTTTACCAGTGAAGTAAGGTAGTAGCTATTGGTTAGTTCAAGCACAAAACCACATGCACTGTACTGTAGCTATCAAAGATAATTTAGGAATATTATTCTGGGGAAACCTAGAAATGCAAAAAAAAAAAAAACACCAACCAAAATATAAGAAGAAAGACAATAATAAGAGTAAGAAATTATTCACTTTCATGCCAAAGGTTTGATACTTGATTAAGGATTTCCTACAGTATGGCTTTTGATATCTTGTAAGTCATGTTAGTATTAATTACCCATATGAAACCTGCTGTGAAAAAGCTACAATAACAAGAACTATAACAACTTCAAGAGGAATGTTGGAGTCATTGAGTTTAGTAAGTTATTGCTTATGGCTTCTGCCAAAATAGGATCATTTATCATCCTGCAGACATTGTGGCACTTAAAAATGAGTAAGTGCATGTTATGAGTACAAAAATATCTTTCTGATAGTCCATAAATCCTTATTGAAATAAAGGGAAGGCAAGGAGAATGCAGAGACAGCACTTAAACTGCTGTACATGAAATCAGGCTTTTGGAGTAGCTTTAGATTTCCATCTACACAAGCCTATGGCGTCCAGACGTGTTGCAAAAAGGAACGCTTTGCTGCTGACACATATTACTGACTGGGCTGCCTTTGCATGGCCTGTGGAGCAGGATGAGGCTAGCAAGTGTGAGGTGCCTTAAAGTGCCACCTGACTCCAGGTGGCAATAGGGAAAGAGTCCTGTAATTCCTGTTTCCTAGTTACGTTGCATTTTGTAACTTGTGCTCTTAATATCTATTTCAGCTGTTCATGCTAAAAGCCTCGTGGCAATACTTCATCTTCTGGTTGCATTATCACAGTATTTCCGAGCACCAATCAGACTCCCAGATCATGTGTCCATTCAGGTTGTTGTTGTGCAGGTAAGAGAGGTGCTAAACGGCTCTTGGTAGTGTTGTGAGGTTCACTGAGTGGTTTCCCTGAAAAATACATTTAGAGTTTCTGTTTATGAGGCATCTGTCTGCCTCTTTGGCTGACAAGAAACACACGCATGTCTTCCCTGCTGACAACGCTTCAACCAGAACATGGCAGATGTGCTCTCCCAGATTGACCTGTGGCTCAGAGTATCTTATTTTGATTGTGAAGTTGGCCAGACTCTGACATTAAAATATATGAAGCGTTATTATTATTACTGGAATGTGTTTATCACCTAATATGATCCCTAGAATTATTATTTTTCCCATTTTTGACGGTCTCCTCATTTGTGTAGAGATTCAAATCATTCTTGGCACTGAATGATGAATTGTCACTGTTTATTACATTCAGATTCATGTTAGGTGACTTAATATTCTTTTTCAGCTTTCTGCATGCTAATTTAGTCTGATTACAGTGTTGGTGTTCTCATAAGCATGAAAAAAAAACCCCATCAAGTACATCTTTCGTGCCAGTCAGTATCCTTATTGGAGCCTCATCCATCCAAATTCTTCACGTTACTCTGTTCATCGTTTTTCTTTCAGTTGGACTTGTGCTTGCTGTATATTTCACCTCTTCCCATTTAATCTCCTTTTTGTTCTCTCCAATTAACTTTGCCTTTATTTTTCACACTGTATCTTTCTTTATGTGTTTTAACCAACGTTACCCTGAAGTATCTGATGCAAAGAGCTATTGTTCAAGTTTTATGTGACTGAAAACCTTTCAGACAGATCTGAGAAAGTAACCACTCTTTTTTTTCCAGCATTCAAATCAGACAAGGTTTGTAATTTGGGGAGATCTCTGAGGGAGAGTCTCTGTTAGATGTGTCACTGACACTTGAGAATTACTCATTGACTCTCATATTTCTGCTTTATGGGTTTCTCTACAGATGATGAAAGAGACCCCAGCCAATCTGCACATACCTGTCTATGACTTCAGAGGAACATAATTTTCAAATGCTTTACTTTGTCTGTTTTAAATATATTAATTGCGCTGGTTTATCTCAGAGTTCTACCAAGACCAGCTTAAGAAATCAGGAATGCAGTGGTCAAGACATCTTTGGGACGAGAAACTAAACCAAAAAAAGAACACAGTCCCAAAATAAAGAACAAGGTCTTGCATTCTGCTATCACTCCACACATCCAGACAAAACTCCCATTAAACTCAATGGATATAATTGTCCTCTTGTTTAATAGGCTAATGTAGCTCAACAGCAAATCCACTGAAGTCAGTACAGATAAACCAATTTAAAAACAATAAGTAGTGGGAGAATCTGGCTCACTGCTTTGCCTCTTAGCTACACAGCTGTAGCTCAGGCACCAGTGAATTGCAGAGAAAGCAGTTGCACCAGAATAAAGTCCAAGTAATGCTGCAGAAGATTTCGCCCTGCAAATTGAGTCCTTTGTGAAAGCCAATCAGTGGAACTCCAAGGCTATGCTGATTCCTATTAACAGAGGGTGGGGCCAGTATTCTTACTGTAATTGTGTTTGAGACATTTTTCATTTTTATTTTATGGTGGGTGTTTTTTTAAATTGTCTTTCATGTTCCGTGGAGTTGGTTCTGTGTAATTCATCACATACCCTTTGAACTCAATGAAAGTTTTAATCAACAGTTATGAGATCCTGAAGCCTAATTTAGTGTTCAAACTTGCACGACTCATGCTCTAAACCCTCATACATTCTGTAAAGTAAAGACTATGTGGTAACTGATTTTAAATTCTACTGTATACAGTTTGATAACAGGAATAGGAGAGAGAGAGAAAGAGTGAGTGAGAGAAATGAGAGAATGAAGTACTTTTATGAAGTCTTTAAGAAAGACTACCTTAATTAATTCTTTTTTTTTTTTTTTTACATTTAGAAACACAGAAAACATGATGGTTGCCATGTTGGATAGGTGTAGTTTGTTGAAACAGAAACAAAGATATTTCAGAAACAAGAACTGTGCTCGTGCCCATCAGGTAGTCGGCACAGCTCTTACAAAAGCTTCATTCCCTTGGCTGTTTTGTACAAAAGCTGTTAGCAATGAGAGTAATACAAAATCTGGGTTATAAGTTGATTTAGGAAAAAATGTGGACCTTTTGTAGCTATTTTATTATTTTCTTTTCCTTCCATACTGCTAGTTTGATCGTTTCTACTAAAACAAATGAGACCTTTTTGAAGAGCTGGATCTTGCCATCGTTTTGCCGCTTTTTTTAAAAAACATAAATTATCTGTGCTGTCCACAAAAGGTTAATCCACAGATTGATTGTGTGCAAGAGATGCAAGTCAGAGAGTATAAGAATGCATTGGTAGAGCAGCCAGAATGGCTTCAGCGTACTCTGAGCACCTGGGCTTGGTGTGCAGCAGTTTTTGGGTGCCTCAACTACTGTTAAGCAAAACTGTGGGAAACCATTGAGATTAGAAGAAGGTGTATATCACAATCTTAATCTGAGATCATTGGTCCCACTGCCTGGGAAGGTCTGAGATGTTTCCAAGCATCGTTGCTTTTGGGTTCCCAAGAAGTATTTTTTTGAACCGTGACAAATGTGTACTTTCAAGTGCCAGAATAGTTCTGCATTTCATTTTGGAGGGGCAGTTCTAAAACATGATCCTCCAGATGAAATATAAAATGAGACTATGTATAGGAAATTAAATAGTTGTCCCTTAGTTACAAAAAGTTGCTTACATATAGCTGAAGAGAGGTGAAGAAGAGACTTTCAATTTCCAGACGTATTTCCAAATTTCAGATGTATTTTTTTTGTTCTAGAGGTAGTCACCAATTTAAAATGGTGATTAGGAAGGTCTTTCATGGCCTTCAGGGGAGTCTTTCAGATGTAAGGGAAGAAAATGCCAAGCCTGTCCAAATAAAGTCTTGTGTGGCTGCTGGAATGTGCATCCAGCTTTTCATTTTAATGGGGAATCTTAATTCATGCGTTGTTTACCAGTTACTTTCAAATAGTAGATGTTCATTTTAATAATTTGTTATTGCAGTTATAGTCACTGTTTTCTTTAAGGAAGATTGCTGGTCAGTCTTTCAGTCTTTAGAAGCACTTCTCTGTCTTTTTAGGCATATTGTGTCATTCTGTGTCTAGTATAAACCTTCAGAACAAGGTAACATCATTATTTTGAGGTGGGGAGTTTTTAAAGTGCAAAAGATGTATGGGAAGCTGCTTTCACAGAGAGGGTGCTTAGGCTACTGTTTCTAAGATCCATTCTGATTGTTGCTGTTGGGACTTTTTCACCGGCCTGCTTACAAATCAAAAACATGGGAAAGTCTGTCTTGAAATGGGCTGGTCAAATATGCACCCAGTGGATGCATGTCGTATTTGGGCAGTGTGGAAATTCCATTCATGTTAGTCATCAGATGCCAGGAATGGAATTCGGAACTAGGACTTGATGTGTTTTGGTTTTGGGAGGGTTGTTTGGTTTTGGTTTTGTTTTGGTTTTTTTTTTGTCAGCATTAGGATTGAGGTGCAGAATTCCTATTTATATTAATTGCAGTTTATCAAAAAGGGAAATATTCCAGTACTAAATAAAACGTATGTTTTAGGCTGGTTTTGCATGTTTGCAGAGGGAAGGTAGAGTGTAGAGTATTGAGTATTGCAGGGCTTTTTCTTCTTCCTTATCACAGAACTGAGCACTGAAAGTTACAAGTGCCGTTGCTCTGATGCTCAGCTCCAGGAGACAAGAGTGATAGGGCTTTTGCTCTAGAAGGCACTGTTGGCATGTCTGAGTCATCATCAGGAGGAAATAAAAGTTTCCTTTCACCCCGTTTCAAAGGGAAGAATAAACAAAACTCCTGAGCAGAATGGAATTCTGACTGGAGCTAGCATGGACTAGGTTGTGATTTCAAGTGCAAGGGCATACTGGTTTTTGCACAAGCTGGAAATGAAGATAGGCCTCACTGATGTGGCCTTTGTTCAGACTTTCCAGGTGTGTGACAGACCATGTCTTGGCAGGTGTTCTGTGCCCCACTTGCAGTGTGTAACATACTGGACTCCACTCAGTCTTTTTAATGTTCAGAGGTCTCTCTGAATGCATTGTGAGATATTTAGTAACAGGGCTCTAAAAGGTATAATGGAAAGACCCTGAAAACTGTCATATAGTTAAAAGGACAGTCCACATTACTCCTAGTGCCAGTCTGGGATGACCCACATGGTTCCATGTGTGCCTTTCTTGCAGAAAGTAAGTTTGAGACTCATATATTTTAGTAATACAGTATAGAAGCAGTAGGCTCAAGCCCAGCCAAATCCTCAGCACATCATACACCGAGGACTGCCTGAAGTAGGGATGTGCTAACTTCTCCAAGGCAGGGAACAGCAGCCACCCTAGTTCACATGCCATGAAGAAAGGACTTTTCTAAAAGGTTTTTCTCCTTTTCTCATTTCCAGATAGAAGGCTTGTCTAGGACCAGCATAAATTTATTTTTCTTCTTTCTTTCTATGACAGGGAGTGACGAATCATGAATAATTGCTTAATGTCTAGACTTTACATGTAGTTGTCAGCATTTGCCTGACTTTTCTTTCTGTATTGCAAAACTTTACTGATTCCAGTGAATAGAATTAACAGAAAGAACACAGAGAGACAAAACATATGTGTGGTATTTACACCACCACCAGATGACTGTGATCAGCATACTGGAAACAATGTCAGATTTTTAAACTCCTTCATTTTCCAACTGTCTCAAATAGCAAGAAGCCATTTGAATTGGCTTCTGCCATTTTGTGTACAGCTTCTAGACACAGGCCACTCACCAACATGTACAAAAGGGCTTCTCACATCTGAAGAACATTAGGGTCGATGCATATATCAACACCAAGATGACTAGGGTCTGGAGGAGGCTGTGAATAGATTATTCTCTATTTTGGCTCTCCATCACAAGCAAATAGAGCTTTTTCTGTGGAGAGAATTCAGAAAAGAAAAACAGTGAGGCAATAAAAAGGCAGTGCATGAACAGGGCTGAAAGAACAAATAGCTTGGGAGCAAGATTTTTGCAAAAGAGAAGCATGGCCACCATCTACCAAGCTGTTCATTGAAATACAAGGTTTAATTCAAATCACCTAGACATACCTCTAGTAAAATACATATATATGTGTTTAGGTGTTTCAAATGTCTTGCTGAATTGGGGCCTTTAAAAGAAAAGTGAATTAAGAACAATGGAGAAAGGAAAAGGGGTACTTCCTTCTACAGGTGGAGTTTCAAGTTTCTTGTTAATGTACAAAAGAGTTTTCTGAAATATTTGCAAGGTGAAATAATGTATTACTGTAAGTTTGAAAAAAGTTATCATTTTACAGGTTTCTTATCTTATTATGTTTGTGGATCACTAACAAATTTTTACTGTGCCCTAACCATTAAGTTTTACTGAGAAAAATGTCACTTTTTTATTTTTTCCAGAAACGAGAAGGAATACTCCAGTCTCGACAAATCCAAGAGGAAATAACTGGTAACACTGAGTATGTCAACACCACTTTTGCCAACAGTTCAGTAATTGAACACAGATGCATCTCCATAATTCAAACATTTGCTGATACTTAGGTTTTGGTATTGGGGTTCCAGGGAAGATGATGTGCATCAGCTAGTGATGGTAGTTTAGCCTTTTGAAGAGCTGCAAACATGCATCTAAAAATACAAAAGGGTGAGGAAATACAGAGCTGGGGAACTAAAGGCAGGATAACAGGATAAAAAAGAAGACAGAGTGAAGATAAACAAAATCTCTATTTTGTATTTATCCACTATTAATTTATTTCTGTATTCATTGTATTTCTTATTATTTTATTCAAAATTCCTTCCAAAAAATCAGAAATAGAGATGCCTCATTCTTTTATGGTGGTGTTTTTTGATAGAGAAGTAAATTATTGCAAAAAGGAATATGATATGATTATTTTTAGGTGTTTTGTACATCAAGCATGTAACATGAAGGTAGCAAGCCATGTACATGTCATATCACTGAACCATTTATGACAGAAAAACTCTACCAAACCAACAGAAAGCCAGGATAATACTAGGATAATACAACTAGGATAATATCTTAGTTTTTAATATTACAGAGAGAAGACAGAACATTGACTTACTATTAATGTTTGTGGATTTGTTGGTGTGTAAATTGTATGAGGGATTAACTGGAGCAAAATGCTACAGTTCTTAAGAACCCAGTCCAAGCATTCTTTTGGCTGGAATTGTATTGTAGTTGGTGTGGAAAACACATCCTTAAAGAAAAGGCAAAAGTTTTCACAAAATAAACTTCAAAAAGCTTTCATCACTCAGGCTAGGTGTGTTGATTTGGTTCAATGGTCAGAAATCTGAGATCTGGCCTCCCATGAGTGATTCAGTGAATCCAGGAGGTACACAGCGATGGACTCCAAATTAATCCAGATTCTTAGCTGGAGCAAGTTAATGAAGGTTTTCTTGGTTCTGTGGATCTATTCCAATATTCACCAAGCTAAAGATCTGGCCATGTATGCTGTTTTCTTTTGCAGCAAAAAGTCTGCAAATGAGTTATATATGACTGTAATTTGTTCTTCTTGTTTTGTTTTGTTTTTCATAGGGCATTGTCAGGAAGGCATGGTAAGTTCATTTGATTATTATTTTTTCTTGAGACGGCCAAAGTATATGCTAGCTCTACAATGCATGGTCACTTTGATCAAACTGCAAGGAAGCAGAGGATTTCAAGTTGCCCTGGTGAATGTATTGATACATGCACTACAAGCTATTGTGGCAGTTAGCAAAAGAAAAAAATCATTAAAAACAGTCTGACTATCTTTAAAACACATTTCATTGCTTTTCAGTATGTGTTAATTTGCAGGTCTTTGTGGTTTAACCTCTAGAACATTACTGTAGTACTATTAATGATCATAAGTTCTCGGCATCATATGAAATGATGTCTTATCATAAGACATCATAAGCTGGTGAACTTGTTGGCATTCTTGCATACGTTGCCCAGTTATGCTTTAATGACTTCGAGTCATTATTCAGCAGGCCTAAACACCATGTAAGTTCCTGTGCCTAGTGTATCTTTTTGCTAGTATTGAGACTCGGCAGATGCCTGGCCAGCAGAAAACACTAATCTGAGGTGCTTAGGTGGAGTTCCACCAAGAATTTAGCATTTGCCTCTTGTATTATTCCAGTGACTGCCTTACAGATGATTTTAAAAGCTACACGCATGACCTCTTTTCCCAATGATACCCCTGAGCAGTCTTACTTTCTGTGAAGTCTGCCTTCTGTGAATACCTTTGGATCTACTCTAGTGTTTTTAATTGCAGAATATGAATGTAGCTTTTTGTGGAGTCATTTGTTATCACTCAGGTGATTATGGAAATGGTAATTGCTCAGAAAAGGCTCTGGTGCCTCTTTTTTTTTTCCTCTGTTTTCTTCAGAAGGTGACTACAGTAGCACTCCAGTCATGCTACTCTAGGTTGCTCATCCTGCTGATAGTGTCCTAAATTGCATATCAGAATGGCTCAAAAACACCTATAAAAAGGATTGTATTGCAGCTTTGCAATCACAAGCTTGCTTGAGGTGCTCAATAATGTAGCACACTACAATGCAGTCAGTGGCCCATGAGGAAAATCTTCTGCAGATATAGTGACGCTAGATGTAACTCATGTTCTGCAGAAAGGTATTTGATTACTTCACTCCCTGTATCTGGCTGTTTAAGGCTTTATGCATAAAGATACCATTCTTTGTTAATTTTTCAGAAACAGGGTTATCAGGTAATCCAAATTCTGCTTGAAAATTATGGGGTTTGCAAATAATAGAGAATAAGTTGCTAGCAGCTTGTAGCAAGAGAGCAGTATGCAAAATACATGGTACTTGGAATACAAAGAAACTGCTGAAACTTTTTGCTGACTGTGTTGTCTCAAACAACTATGTGCCTTAATAAGTGTTTATTCTGCATTTGGATGAGTGCTGCTCAGTATATTAACATCTCTGAATGTTTTCCAGAAAGAGATGCGTTTGACACTTTATTTGACCATGCTCCAGACAAGCTCAATGTAGTGAAAAAGGTTGGAAGGTTTTTGTATTTAAATACGTAATGTATGCGTGTGCATGGTTGTGTTTATCTGTTTGTACATATGTAGTGAGTGTGTATGTATATAATTGGCATAGTTTGCATACTTTATAGGCACTTAAGGTTTATGCTTAAATATACGATTTCATGATTATGTTACTTTTCTTCAATATTTAGCATCATGAATGTAACTTTGGAACACAGAACAACAAATAGTTATCAAAGTTCCCATCAAAAAAGTTCTTACAAAGTATATACTGAGTAGAACCGAACTAGTAGATTGAGTGTACTGATGCCAAATAGATATTTGGTTTACAACTGCCAGGGTTCTGACGTAGAACATTTGGACTGCTGTTGGATTTGAGTGGAGTCCAATTACCCACTTCCCTATGGTCTGCTGCAAGGTTTGTTGTGGGTTTGGGGTTTTTTGTTTATTTTTGTTTGGTTGGTTTTTATTTTTTTAAGAATTATTAGGTTTTAACAGTGTATTTTTATCTATAAACATCATTTTCTTTTTAGTTCTATTCTTCATTCTTGGAAAAAAAATATTTTTTTTAATGCCACATTTCAGTTTTGAAACAAAATTATGTTGCAGTCTCTTCACTGATGCAGATTCTCTTCTGAGTGGAGTACTGCAGTTGAACTGCTGCTCTGCTGAGCAGGCCTTCACTCCATTGTTTTCATATTTCAGACTCTCATCACCTTTGTCAACAAGCATCTGAATAAATTGAATTTGGAGGTCACTGAACTGGAGACCCAGGTAGGGTTTTACAGCCTTTCTTAAAGGGGGAGGGATAGTTGCACTATGTTATGGACTACGTCCCCAGTGTTATCCAGAAGTTTCATTGAATTATAATAGATTGAGCTTTAAGATGTTATTTTGGTGGGAAACCTTTCAATTCTGAATACGTTTGTATGAAGACAACCTTCACCAATTAAGCAAAGCAGTCATGAGGCTAGCTAAATTTCTCTGAAAAAGTTTTGTACTTCCATTAGCATAAACATTCATTAACAGATGCTACCTCTTGGGTCCTGCCAAGTGCTGTAAGCAAAACCTGTGTTTGTTTTGGTCAGGAAAGAGACCAAAAATCCGCTTGATTTGATCCGATGTCAAGCTGAACAGGAGTTTCCTGCCTACCTTTACACAAGCATGCAATTGCATGGGATAACAATGACTCTATTCAGTGAGATATATTCTTGAGAGCAAAGCTACTCAACTGTATATGCAGCTGTACAGTTGGGCTGCAGGCTTGATTGCACCACAGAAATAATATGGTGCACGGTCATCTTTCTTGTTCTCAGTTGATAAATTGGCTGAAAAAGAAGCTAAAAGAAACGCTTAATTCTACTATATTAGTAACTCCCCATGTGAACAATTGCAGCAGTTATAAGAAAATTTCAAGGTCATGCAAGGATGGTGTCTGCACTATCAAAAAACCCCAGGTATCTTCAGGACAGGCTTTGTTTTCCATCTTGATTCGTGTTAAGTATCTCTGTTTTATTTAAATAACTATCAATCTGATAGAGATTTTCAAAAGTAAAATTAAGATTTAGATGGAAATAATGTGTAAGGGCATTCAGAAAGGTGTTCCTTATGCTTCCTAATTGCATTATTTACTTTTGGAAAAAAAGCTTATCATTCAGATGTACCTAGAAACCCTATAAACATTTATCTGAAACAGTATTCCCTAAGATGAGAGGCTGTATTTCTCTCATCTGAAAGGAAATTGCCTACCTCAGGAAGGTGATGGATTACTTCAGATAACTCGGTTGGATTGTGCAGATATCTCAGTGCACTGATAGATCTGATGCAGCAGCATAAGAGTGAAAGGCCTTTTAAAAAAAATCTCATGGATGTTGCTAATTTTTTAGATAGAAATGAACGTATTTCATAGCAATTAGATTACTTCCACCTGTAATTACATACACTTAAAATTAGATTGATGTAGACTTGCAGAAAATGGATGAAGATGATCCTTTGTTCCTTTATTTCCTCCAATACATTGAATTCCAGTGCAGTCGTGAGATTGTACTGTATTCTTTTTTTTACTGATCAGGGAACACATGGCTTTTGGGAGCTTCAAAGAGGGCTGTTCTGATTCCCCACAAATAGTAGCATAGAGAGCAAGGGCATAGATCAATGCCACTGATCACCTTGCTTTGCAGGAATGTCATTCTGCATGTATAGTTTAGCAATAGGTCAGTTTTGGAGAAAACATAACAGAGGGTCCTAACTAAATAAAATAAAATAAAAGGAATCAAAGAAGTGAGGTGAGATCTTTTAGTTGCAATTTAAAATATTTGTATTGGGAGTTTGTTGATAGTTCACGATTAGACAACATGTATCGTGTTCATTAAGGAAAGCAAAGAGTTATTCTTCAGGAAATGTACTCAGAAATGTCTTTTTTACAGTTTGCAGATGGGGTGTACTTAGTCCTGCTAATGGGTCTCCTAGAAGGCTATTTCGTTCCTCTGCACAGCTTTTTCTTGACTCCTGATAGTTTTGAACAAAAGGTAATTAGATTTCATTTTGTGAAAAACAAACATAAACATGTCTAGTAGTGCAAGGATGACACAAACTTTTCTGTGTATGTTTGAAGTAAATAGCTGAAGTCAAGAGAGGACTCTACTAGGAACCATTTCCAGGCATTCTTAAGATCTCAGTATTAATGCTTATCCAGAATAAAAGGGAATATTAAAGATGGGATGTTAGCAATTGTTAACTGATTTTGGCAGTCATTGTGTGATGCTGTCATTGAACCAAGCTTGCTGTTCATTAAATGTGTAAAGATTTACACACGTGAATTGATGACAGCAATCCAAATTTTATTTTGGACAAACAGTGTCCAAAATCCAAGAATTTAACATTTGAAAGGTTTCATGGTTTTTGGAAGCATAAAGCATTGTGATCAGCAATGCAGTTTGGTTGGAGGCCTGTAGCTAATGGTGTTCCACAGGCGTCAGTCTTGTTCAACATATTCATCCATGACCTGGCTGAAGGGATGGAGTGCACCCTTGGCAAGTTTGCTGATGACACAAAGGTGGGAGCAGTGTCTGACACACCAGAAGTCTGTGCTGCCATTCAGCAAGACCTGGACAGGCTGGAGAGCTGGGCAGAGGGGAACCTTGTGAAGTTCAGCTAGGGCGAGTGTAAAGTCCTGCACCTGGGAAGGAATTACCCCATGTACCAGTAAAGGTTAGGAGTTGACCTACTGGTAAGCACCTCTGTGGAGAGGGACCTGGGAGGCCTGGTGAACGAGAGCAAGCAGTGTGCTCTTGTAGCCAAGAAGGCCAGTGGTATCCTGGGGTGCATTAAGAAGAGTGTGATCAGCAGGTTGAGGGAGGTTCTCCTCCCCCTCTGCCATAATGAGGCCACATCTGAAGTGCTGTGACCGGTTTTGGGCTCCCCAGTTCATGAGAGACAGGGAGCTACTGGGAGAGATTCCAACAGAAGGCTATGAAGATGATGAAGGGACTGGAACATCTCCCTTATGAGGAAAGGCTGAGAGGTCTGGATCTATTTAGCCTGGTGAAGAGAAGACTGAGAGGGGATCTTATCAATGTTTATAAATATCTAAGGGGCAAGAGGATGGGGCAACTCTTTCCAGTTGTGCGTAGGACAAGGGGCAACAGGCACAAACAAGAACATGAGAAGTTTCACCTAAAGATAAATAAAAACTTTACTGTGAGGGTGACAGAGCATTGGAACAGGCTGCCCGAAGAGGCTGTGGAGCCTCCTTCTCTGGAGACTTTCAAAACCTGCCTGGACACATTCCTTTGCAGTCTGCTCTGGGTGAATCTGCTTGAGGAGGTGGGTTGGACTAGATGATCTGCAGAGGTCCCATCCAACCCCTGCCATTCTGTGATTCTGTGATAAAGGCATATGTGTGAGATGTATCATTTTAAGACCAACAATTACCTCAGTGTCTCCTGCTATCCAGGCAATTCAGATGTCTATTCAAGACAAGAGTGCTTCATGGGCCATCATGTTCCAATTTCTAAACTTGTGGGAGGTGTGCTATTCTTACTTGTAATTTTTCCATGGGCAATGTTAGTTCATATGTTAATTTTAAATTACTTTTGTATTTCTGAAACCACCATCACTGCACAGAAAACAAACAAACAAACAAAAAACCACAACAAAACAATGAATTGTCTGGATTCTGTGGACTGTTGATGTATGGAGCCCTGACTATTTTCTCCTTCTGAGCATTTAGGTCTGCAGCTTCAAATACATCTTGTTTTGATAATTTGTACTATATGGTATATAGTTCACAATAATGACTACCTTTATTATATTACTAGGTCCTCAATGTGTCTTTTGCATTTGAGCTAATGCAAGATGGTGGATTGGAAAAACCAAAGCCAAGACCAGAAGGTACCTATACTCTTTTTTTTTTTTTTTTTTTTTTTTTTGTATCTCCTTAAATATGTACATTAGATCCAGATCTTATCTCATAGGAGTATGGTATAGCTAAATGAAAATTAAAATCTCAATCCAAGAGCAAAAAGTGAGATGCATGTTGAAGTGCTCAGGTAACTGTATTTCAAATGGGCAAATGATTTTGCAAATGTTGCAAGGCTTCCTTTCTTGAATGGCCAGGGTAACATTTGTGTGACCAAACATGCAGAAATACTTATATATTCACTAAAAGGAAAAGAATACAATTTTGAATGGTGTCACTGGTAGATAAGAATTGCTCCAACTGCTCCATTTTCCCCCATCCCACATCTTTATGCTTCACCTCAAGTATTCCACTGTAATTTACAAGATTTTCACAAAAGAGGCTGATGTTGCGGAAGAATAATTTCAAATGTTCATATAACTGCCTTTAAATGCAGGACTGAATCTTGCATATTTAAATTAGATTTAGAGCTGGAGACTAAAAGTAGAATGTGTCTTCATGGAAGATGCATGTTTTGCTGCTGACCTTAGCAGGACCAGGATTCCACTCCTCTCCACTCATACCAGTACAGAGTTTAAATCCAGCCTTTCAGGATGGATATAAAGCTCTTAATTCACAATGTTGTGGGGTACTCTTGTGGTTCCTGCCATCAGACGTTACTGCTTCTTACCATACAGGAGCTGGACATACAGCCTCTGCTCCACTCGTCCCAGCAGGGGTAGTTGCTGGGTGTCTGCTGGTTACCTACCATAATAATCAATATATGTTTTCAAGACCCATTGCAGATTCACATTCTATGGGGCAGTCTTTTCCTGCTATCATATTGTCATTCCCTGAGAAGCTGATACAAGCTGGTGCTCAGAGTTACACTTCTCATGGCAAGGGCTCTCTGGAGATTCAGGCACACATTGCTGAATTGAATTCTGCTCCATTCTGCTTTTTTCCCGTCCTTTCCAACTTCCAGATCGTAACAGCAGCAGACGTGTGCACACAGAAAAATATGTCTCAGGATCAAGCCTAGGCTGTTTATGCATTTAATCTGGACCTACCTGACCTAGTTTTCACTTCTTTTGATTACTTGAACTCTTATCCACAAGCATACTTAATTAAACCTTTAGTTGCTGTATCACAAACTTTTAAGTTGGAAATAGTCAAAGAGAGAAGGGGGAAATAGTGAAATCTAGGGATCCAAATAAAACAGAGTATCTGTGATCCCTTACTCCCCATGGAGGTTTAAAATTCTTATGACATTTAATTTTTTAGGTATTTATTGCTCTAAGGGACAGCTAATTTTTCCAGTATAAATCAAGCCATAAGGATATTTCAGCATATATAAGACATTTCTTGTGCAATTATTGAAATGCTTAATATGAAACTTCCTGCCCAATGTGAATGGAAAAACACATCTGTTTTATGTGTTGTTACATTGGGCACAATGCCCATACTTAAAATTTCCAGTGAGCAAGAGAATATTGAAAAGGATCTTACCCTAAATGTGTATACTAAATACTCTTTAAATTCCTACTCTGTTTCTTTGAGGTTCTTGAGGAAAAAAATATGCTGAAAAGTGCTTTAGAATATGAAAAAAAAAATTTAGTGGAAAAAAGAATGCACTTGAATAAATTAGTATGCAAAGCAATTATTTTTATGGGGTCAGCCGTTGATACGGGTTGTTTGCAATATAATTGAAACGGTATTAAAAGCTTTCTGTGACCTTTTACTTTAGAAATTGCTAGAACCTTAATCTACTGAGTCTGTAACAAATTCATTTGCAGTTTGAGCTTTTTGAGATTACTTCTTGAAATGTGTACATCAAAGCCAGACTCAAGTTTCTTTTTTTGAAAATTACCACCAGTAAAATGTTATACATCTTGGTCAAACACATGTAGAAATGGAAATAACTCCTCTTTTGCTGGGAGTGTGTGCTTTTTTTGTTTTCATTTGGACCTTTCTGTGGAATTCTTTTCTGGTGGTAGAGTCTTCTGGTAACTTTGCAAAGTCAAACCTGTCAAAGTTACCTCTCCATTGATTTCAAGTTCTGTATTATGAAAGGAAGGTATTTTGCAGCTCACTGCTGGCCTGAAAGAGGAATCTTCCCGAGTCATGTGCAAGCAGTATTGCAGAGTGTAACGTAGTCTTGCAGGAGCATTGTGCCCTTCCCATAGCTTTTGGCGTTTTCTCTTCATTTTATACCAAGCATGTTTGGTCTGCTTTATTAAGAGCCACAAACTCATGTGTTTTCATCATTCTTCTGTGGATAGCTGTTTGCCATGTAGCTAGTATCTTTAGCCCTTCAAAGTCTGCATGCTTTGGGACATTGTGCATAGTTTTGATTGGATTAATTCTTCGAAGTATAACCCCCTTCACAACCTATGAGAAACATCAATGTAGAAAAATATGACAAAACTATCTGATGATTACATATACGATTTACTAGGCTTACTTGGAGGTTTTAAGATAATAGGTGTATGCACACCATCTGCTTTATACCTCTATGGCCAGTTTGAAGAACCAAAGTCAGGAGATTGAGTTCCTATACAGTCAACAGAAAGATAGGACAATTATAATTCTATTCTGTTCTCTTCTTTCAGAGGGCAATTCTAAGCTCCAATTTGAGATTGAATGTTCCTTGAAGAACTAGCGTAGACAGCTGCAGTAGTCTTGTCAGCTTGTTTTATAGATTTCTTGGGAAATAATATTGACTTTCTCAAGAACTTGTCTTTGAAACAGAGGTATTCATTAGCTTTATGTTTCATATAAATCCTTTATTTTAGATGTTGAATTTCTAAGAACTAATTCAGCCATATACATTAGCTAACCCAAAACATTTTCATAAGTGTCTTCAAGGGACACTTGTATACCTCCATTCTTTAGATCCTTCAGAAAATATAAACTTGCTTCTAGCTGTCTTGCTGAAGTTAGGCCTAATAAAGGATATTATAGCACAGAATGGGCTGAGTCCTGCAGTTCTAGGAGAAGAGTTCCACTGTTTCCTGACTGGTGATTTTTTTCAAGGTCATTACTTTTCAGCCACAACTAACTGAAGATACAGTCATATAAACATATGTAGTCCTAGGCACAATATGTCTCATGGGCATCTAAACCTTGTTTGCATTTCTGTATCAGCAACATTAGCCATTTGTATTCCTAGGTTGAGATACTGATTTCTGAGCTGCCAGTTTAGAAACTGTGCTTTATTTATATTTCTACTCTTACTGTCCTTGTAATTCTAAAGTTTAAGGATATGGATCTAAGCAAGGAAAGGGAATAGAGAATAAGCACTTTTTCTGAAAAATGTTTTGATCTAATGAAGTTACTAATTGGTTTTCCCTTGTCTTTTTTTTGTAGATATTGTAAATTGTGACTTGAAGTCTACACTGAGAGTACTGTACAATTTGTTTACCAAATACAGGAATGTGGAGTGAAGAATTTATGAGTTGTAAAGGAGTGTTAACAAAATAAGCATTATAACTAGCATTTTTCATCAGTATTCCTTCTGCATCCGTATCCTAAAAGGAACTAAACCATTTTTTTGAAGAATTTTTAATTGGTTATTCTTGCATTACTATTTTCATAGTAGATTTAAAACTGATGTAACTTATGAAGAAAAAAGGTTTGGAAGAAAGTATTTGGGTGTGTTCTGGGAGAATTAATGTCTCAATAATAACTGTCTTCACACTTGTTTTGTAGTAGGTGGAGCAACAGTGAAAAAAGATCTAGTAACTTTAATCAAAATCAGCCTTTGAAGCCTATCATAGGAAGATTCTATACTGAGTATCTATCTTAGTATTTTTTACATATGTCTTTTCTAAGCTGAGGAGGGGAAGTATATTTTCTATCCACGATAAGGTGATTGCATTCTAATTATGAGAAACGTGCATGGAGAGAAACGGTTAAAGAGTGTTGGTCACATCGCAGCTAAAAATAAAAGACTTTCTCAAGCACTTAACCTGATTAATTTATATTTCAAGTGCTATTAGGCTTGAAACTTATGGGTACAAACTGAAGTGGCTACTCATTCCTTCAGACTTCTTTTTAACGTGACACTTCTTTAAATGTGTTATTGAGCATTCTGCATAAGTACACTTTGCAGCTTGTTGCTTGGTTTTGTTCAAGGAAGAGATCTTTTTTAGCAAAGTACACATTTCAGGAAAACACACTTGTATAATACAGTTTCCCTATAGTATTTGTATTATTACATAGTATTAGAAAGTAAAAATATGACTTGTTTTTCTTTAAGTAGCTTAAAAACAGGATTGCCAGGTTACAAGTTTAGATTTATTGCTAAATAGTATTTGGAATTTGTCTCTTTGGTTGATTTTTATGATGAATGTATTTTGCTGTATAATGTCCAACATCAAAAAATAAGATTCATTGTTTAGAAACATTCCTGTAGCATTTCAGATACAAAAGCACTGCGTTTTGGTCAAAACTGCTTCCATCTGCAAAGAGTCCATTACAGCATAAGGCTCTTTGGTCATTTTACATGAATGTAAAGAATACTTTCACTTAATCATAGCCAAGTATAAGGCGTTACCTGTTTGGTTTAAGCTTTAACAAAGACACAAAAGAGAAATGGGAGTTGATTCATCCATTGGACTGATGTCAAGCACCAGTTATATTTCTGTAAAGAAGCTGATAGATACTGCCTGAATCATCAAAAAACTGCACTGGCTTCAGTAAATCAATCATTTGCTAGCAGTCTGGATGTTAGTATTAGATACCTTTCTAGACAAAGTGTTGCAATGCAACCACGGATTCTTGGGATCCTTGGTTACATAGCAAGGAGAAAAATCCTTATGCTAAATGACTGCTTAGAAAGCTTTGGACTGCTTAGTGCAGGAAGGAGACATGTTAATAGTTATCCAATTGTGGCAGAACTGGTGTGGATACAGGGAAAGCAATCTGTTAGCCTTTGAGCCCATTCATAAGAAGCAATGCAGGGCTGGCAAGAACAGCAATAACAGCTTTATGTTACATATTATATAAAGCATTACATATTTTTCCATTTTCAAGGGCTTTTTTTTTTTTAATGTAAAGATTTCTAGTGCAACATTAGGGAAGGGAAGGCAAACAACTACATTCTGTCTTTGAACACCGATGTTTAATAACAAGATGATACTGACTTCCATAGAAGTTATTCTTATGAGAAGTAAATATCAACTTCTGCAGAGGAAGGTATTATTTAATTCAGATGACAATATCTGGATGTTCTCTGAACTCAGAAATTATCTGGTTGTTATAAGCATTCTAAATATCCTCTTTAAAATGTTTTTTTACCTCTATATTTTTAACTGAATTTCTGAAATTAGAGATAGAGAAGATAACAATTATTTACCTTTTAAAGAGGGAAATAACTGGAAGCTTTGACCTTGGTGAAAATGAACATCTTTTCATTATGTCTTTAATAACTGAGAAGCTAAACAATAGGAATTAACCAAGCCATTTTTAAGCAAACTGAGACAGAACTCCTCATATATATACCCAGCAGCAATTTCAGCTTTCTTTAATGTTTAACAAGTAAGTTTTATATTTGCACACCTAGATCATAATAATTTAATAGTTATGTAAAAAATAGATGATGTTTTTTCTGCAAATTTTTCTTTCACATCTCAGCGTTTTGATTGCCCTTGTTTTCAGGAGTGCACTTCCTTTAAAGAGATCTATATATGTAAAGGAGAAAGGTTAGAAATGCTGAAACTGTTTTTTGCCTGGACTTGAAAATAAGTATTCCTGTGCTATATTCGCATAACATTATTGGAGATTTTGAAGTCTGTCACCTTCCATTTTCCATCCTTAAAAAAAGGTTAAACTGAGTCAGAAAGATTAAATCCCTATGCAGTGATGCAGAACCATAGAAACATTTAAACAGTATCCAACCTTTACACAATTATCTGTCCTATGGTAGAGGTTTATATCAATTAAAATCTGCTATATAAACAGGACTGTGCTATGTAAATGTAGACCCACGTGATAGTTTTAACACATTCACACAAATAACATATGCTGCCATGTAGGAGTGGTCACTGCTTATTTTTCTGTCAGTGTAGATTTAAATACCTATCAGATAAATATGAAATCTAATATACAGATTATATCTAATATTTATTGCTTTGATACAGAATATTATAGAAATATAGAATAATGTAGACAGTTTGTTCTTCAGCAATCAGTGTAGGCCAGCACCTTCCTTCAAGGAAGTGAAATTTTGTTAGCTGGGTCAAATTCTGCTGACACCTACGATGCTTATTTTCTTGATACACAGTGATGTATATTGATGTACATCTGAATGGAGAATTTTCCTCACTGCTTATATTAAGTCAGAAATTGTTTAAGTTTTCTGAAGTTTTAGGTCAATCCTGGTATTATTTATAATTATTTTAAATTATAAAATAGGTCCAAATCAATTAGATATGTAAGATATGAAGGCCACTTTCTCTGCTGGTCCCAGCAGGAGCCTCTGATCTCAAGGCTGCTATCTCAACACTTTGGCTAAGTTTCTGAAGCCAGGTAGTATGAATCCAAGCCACTGCCTTAAGATCTCATGGTGGTAATTGGATCTTGTCCACCAGACCAATGTGCTTGTCTGTTGTCCTCTGTCAAGAAGGCCCACAGGTAACTGAGTCCACTGAAAACTTGAGGATTATTGGCCTGCTTTGAGTAACAAACAGGAAACATTTCTAATGCTGGGGCATTATGAAATTGCCAAATTATACAGTTTTCTGTGCTTCTCTGACTTCTAATCCATCCGTTGCACCCAGCAATTTTGTACCCAGATTTGCTTTGTGGTTGGAGATAGACATCCTTTCCCTGTTGATGGATCCTGGCATCCTCTGTCAAGACATAAAACATTTTTTTTTTTCTTTTTTCCCAAAAAGGAGCTACAGATGCTTAACAGTATGTAAAAAAGATATTGTCAAAATAATTATCTAAAGTCCTAATGTCTTGATGTCAGCTCCTCTTGTATTTCTTTCCCAGCTGGCTGACATTCAGTTTCCACAAAGAACAGGCCCTAGAAAAAAGTGTTGAAGGAATCTTTTCATAATTTTACCTGACACACACACACACATAAAGTCCAGAGTTGGGTTGCTCTATATTTCCAGTGGAGTGCAGATGCAACAAGTTTCTTATTAAATGGTCTCACTGCAGAATATCTAGTTCTTTGCACGCCTCAGTCAGTAGATTTCCTGTTATAGGCAGGTAGCAAACCTTCCACCTACATAGTTAAGGAATTCAAGTGGACCAGTGAGTGCTGGGTAAGGTCCTAATCCACTTCAGTTGGCTGTGGGCCAAGTTGCTGATCAGCATATCTCACGTAAACCAGTGGCATTAAATCAAGAGAGCATTTGGTCCTTTCTGTTTCACAGAGTGTTACAGTACTTGGGAAGGGTTTACAGTCAGGCAGGCTATATTGATTGAGGTAAATGCTATTTGGCAGACTTCTGTTCCAACTTACTTTCTTGAAGTATGTTTTTAAATTCATGTTTCAGATTAATTTAGCAGACACCTTATTGCAAGCCACAGTGTTGTAAAGCAGAAGTACTTTAAAAAGTAATGGGGTTTATTTCATGAGAGAAAGATATATATGATATTTAATATATTAGATAATAGCTTTAGGTCTGTTTTTTGTTATTCTTGTCTTCCTGTCAAAACAGCCTTCATGAAAGGCCTGTGTGTGTGCCAAGCACCCAAATAGAGAACAGTGTCTTGAAGACCTCCTGCAAGATTTTCTACACAGTTACCTAACAAACTTTTATCATTTTAATATAAGAATTAGTGTGGCTTTTGTCTTCACAATTAAAGTACAATTAAAAGCCAAAGAAATAATTTGTAGAAATTTATAATTAAAGAAAGATATTTTCTTTTGATGTATCACATGAAAAATGGAAATAGCAGCACCAAAATTCCAAAATTATGCAGACCTCAGCATCCTCTTTTCCAAAGAGTTTGAGTCATTTAACACTTACTAGGGATAACCTTTTGGTTTTTGACAATATTTTTTGTGTGACTGTTTCTTTTTGCAATAATTAGTTTATCTTTTATGTCTGTTTAATACTACACAGTCTGCAAAAGTGTTGGTGTCATTGAATTACTTGTTTCTCGATTTCAATATCAAACCACTCGAGAAAAAAAAATTTGCAAAATTTGCTTCTTAACATGTGTATCTGAAAATAGTGGTTAGTTTAAATTAAGCTGCATTGCCTTCAGCTGCAGAGTTATTAGCTTTCACAGAATATATTTTATGTACTCTAAGTAAGAGACACTCTGTTGCTGCTTTTTTTCCTGTGCTTTTTCTGAAACGTTTGTTATGACCTACAATAAAATTTGCACCTGAAAATCAACGCTGTATGTTGTTGTTGGGTATGAGATGTATGGCAAAAAATTGGGAAGGCTGTATGGTTTATGTTCTTCTACACCTCTGATG